TACTCATTTATGAATGACCCCTTTAGTAAAACAAGAAGTAGGACATTGTTTACCCACAACCCCCACATTGGATAACCCGGGGACAGTTTGAAAGACTACGCCCAGGACAGAGAACGCCTGAGAGCTCTTGTCAGCGGTCTATGCCCCAAGAGGGGCGACAGGCAAACCTATCCTAATCCTACATGCGCCATGAAGACCGTTGACGTCTATTTCAGCCTGTTTTTTCTTTCTGGATTGTCGCTATAGCTTTTGTCCATCCAAGAACAAACTACAAGTCAGCAGTTGTTTGATTTTGGAGTTCGAACTCGTGGCTATTTAGCAGTCATGACCTTAACGACCTGACCACCTCCCCTTCAAATGTAACTGACCCCCCCCCCCTCCACCACCACCACCACCACCACACACAGAACAAAGAACAGCAACAAGTTTGGAACATGTAATGATATATTGCCAGTATTACCGATGAAGCAATAATTTTTAATACCATGGCTTATGTAGGCATATCCAAATCCTAAACAAATGTATGAAGTACAAAAAAAAGTGTTATAGGCCTATTAACACGAATCATAGACATAATATACAACATAATATAACAAACTGAAATTACTCAACGATAAACAACCACGCTACAGTGTTTCTTTCAGACTGCTTTTCTTGGGGGGGGGGGGGGGGGGAGGCTGAAGGGACACTTGAATTCTTCGGGGGGTGGGGAGGACACTGGTAAAAGTATATATTTCCTATATGAATTCCACTTCGTTCGGGGGAGGGGGGGCGGTAGACTTTCTTCGAGGTAGTGGGAAGCCCCCCCCCCCCACAACCACAGAGATACCTAAAAGAAGCTCTGCCACCCTAAGTGCATGATCTTATTTCTTTTAAATATGGAGACAAGCAAAATACTCCATAGTGGTCTGATTGTTGTCAATGTGGAAAGAGATTGTTTTAAAATTTCGATATTTTTTAAAATTGTTCACAAGCTAACATAGCCTTAAAGGACGGCGTAGTCGAATGGCTTGGTCATAGTACGTCCCTGAGTCCACCCAGCTCTGATGGGTAGCCGACTTACGTTAGGGAGAGAGTCAAGCCGAGGTAACAGAAACAGGAGAACTCTACTTCACCTGCCCAGGCTCGAAATGGAACTGTAAATAGTGTTATAAAAGAGTTATACAACCTGAGACAGATGTTTGACGTACTTTGGAATGTTATTGTGCAGGAACATCCCTAATCGAACGAAATGGGATTTAAATAGAAAATATATACTTTTACCTTTCAACGTCCCCTCTCCCACCCCCCGGAGTAAAAAAGTATGGAAGAAACACTGTCCCTAAGCATAAATATTCATATATAGTTGTCGCAAATTGACATATACAAACTTATATTGTTTATAGTTTGACCAGATTTCGTTAAGTTTTGATTTGGCTAATGAAAACAAGTCACTGACATCAACCAGATGTCACATTTTATCTAGACTAGGTTAAAACTTGAACTAGAAAAAAAATACAATGCTATACTATTAAAAGCATTGTTTCTATTTTTAGCCTGAATGAAATCTACTGCATTCAGACGTCAACAATCAACGTCAATCATCCTGCTTGGGCTCAAGTTTCTGCTGGTAGTAAAATAACGCCTCGCTTAGGTCACCTATCCCATAATTTCTAAAAGAATTTCACAGTGTGGGAGACATCAGACATGAAGAAGACAGATTACAATGTCGGTTTGGCTTTATTCGTGGTTAGTGGTTAACCTTCCACCACACACTATCTCGTCAACTAGAAGGTAAACAAAAGTTGCCTATGTCTATACACCCATATATATATATATATATATATATATATATATATATATATATATATATATATATATATATATATATATATGTATATATATATATTATTATATAGATATATAGATATATATATATATATTTATAGGCCTATATGTATATATATATATATATATATATATATATATATATATATATATATATATATATATATATACATTGGCCTGTTAAGCAGCACAATATAAATCGTTTCAATTAGATTTTAAAAACAGATTTATAATTTAATTGTAATTATGTCACTTCAAGATAGCAGACCCCCCTTCCCCCCCCCCCCCCTTATAAAACGTTTCACGAGCTGAATTCATTTGCAATTAACGTAAGCCAACCATAGCTTGGTAATTATAAGTCTCAGCTATATGAGTCGTAATTGTTGTTATCCATTGTAAAACCACATAGCCACACCATCTGGTACCATTTTAAGTTACAAGCCAGCAATTTTTTTTTTAATACGAAGTGTAGTTTTTATTTATACTGAATGTTATCTGCCTATTTTGTTTAGCTCCAAACCGGAGACTTAGAAAAATTATTTAGAGCATAGGACCTGCCTACACTGGTAGGTGTTGATGCATTATTCATAATCATGGGAGATAATTCTTGACATTGTGAGATAACCACACCCACCTGTCACAAACTTGTTGACCCCTCCCCTCCTGACATCAACAGCAGCTGTTAATTAATGTTGGATTAGTTTAGTCACTAACCCTAATCTGGTAATACATTTAAAGTTTTTTCCATGTTTATGTATAATACACCTGTATTGGTTGTGTGACTTGTATAATACACCTGTATTGGTTGTGTGACATGTAACATATGATTCACCTGTATTGGTTGTGTGACATGTATGATACACCTGTATTGGTTGTGTGATATGGATGATACACCTGTATTGGTTGTGTGACATGTATGATACACCTGTATTGGTTGTGTGACATGTATGATACACCTGTATTGGTTGTGTGACATGTATAATACACCTGTATTGGTTGTGTCACATGGATGATACACCTGTATTGGTTGTGTGACATGTATAATACACCTGTATTGGTTGTGTGACATGGATGTAACACCTGTATTGGTTGTGTGACATGTATAATACACCTGTATTGGTTGTGTGACATGTATAATACACCTGTATTGGTTGTGTCACATGGATGATACACCTGTATTGGTTGTGTGACATGTATAATACACCTGTATTGGTTGTGTGACATGGATGTAACACCTGTATTGGTTGTGTGACATGTATGATACACCTGTATTGGTTGTGTGACATGTAACATATGATTCACCTGTATTGGTTGTGTGACATGTATGATACACCTGTATTGGTTGTGTGACATGTATGATTCACCTGTATTGGTTGTGTGACATGGATGATACACCTGTATTGGTTGTGTGACATGGATGATACACCTGTATTGGTTGTGTGACATGTATGATACACCTGTATTGGTTGTGTGACATGTATAATACACCTGTATTGGTTGTGTCACATGGATGATACACCTGTATTGGTTGTGTGACATGTATAATACACCTGTATTGGTTGTGTGACATGGATGATACACCTGTATTGGTTGTGTGACTAGTATGATACACCTGTATCTGTTGTATGATACACCTGTATTTGGTGTGTGATACATCTGTATTGGTTGTGTAACAGGAATGATACACCTGTTTCTATTATTTGATACACCTATACTGCTTCTGTGACAATTATTATATTTGTTGTTGAGTTTTTGAAGTTGCAGTGTAAACACACCAAATCAAAACACAACATTTCTTCATGGTTTACTTTATAAAACAAACATCAACCACATTGAGCATAGTTAAGTAGTCACATACAGTATGTTTTAAACCTTCATCTTCACCAGTGGTTCTTAACCTGGTTTGATCAAACCCCAGGGGTTCAGTGAGTTAGTCTCAGGGGGTTCTGTGGAGGGCAAGACACACCCAACTCATTTGATTCACAATCAGATTTTGTCAGTGTGGACAATAGAACTATTAGGATAGTGAATTTGCATATAATACTGGTGGGGTTAAGAACCACTGCTCTACACTATACATATTGTAACATAGAAGTATTGTCTAAAAATAGTCTCAACCTGATAAAAGCTACACATTTTAAAACCTTGATTGACCTGGGAAGCAACAAATAAAGCTAAAATGGGAGATAAATCTATAGGGCAGGTAATACCACATGAAAATTATATAGGGCCCTTAGAAGTAGCCACAGAAGTTTAAAAAAAAACGGTTCAGTTTTATAAACAAAGCCTGGGTTCCTTGTTCCTTCACACAATAAGAATATGAAGCTGATTTTCTTAGAGAAATTTCATTTTGTGGCTGTCATTGTGTCACTAAAAAAAAATACAATAAAATATTTTGGCTAAAAAAAATGTAAACATGAGGTTTTTAGCGTCAAGACGTGCTCCAGAAGTTAGCTGGCAATAGTCCCTCTGGTGCTGCGATGCTTGCGGTCCTGAGAGAAGTTTCTAGAAATATCTCCAGCCTGCCGACCGTGGCGCTGGTGACAGACAAGTTCTTGAGCTGGGGGAGGTAGCTGCGAGTGAGGACGTGGACCAGCTTGATGAACTGGACTTTGTACTCGCGGAACAGGGCGTGGCCGGAGACTGCCAGGAGGTCGTAGATCATGGTGGCCGTGATGTCAGTGTGTGGCTCCAGGTTCATGGTGCGGGCCAGCCACATCCACGCGTTCTCCACGCCGTGCGGGTGGCTGCCGTGGGGGGTGTTGGGTGGGGAGACAATCATGCAGGCGCAGTAGAGTCTCATGAGACCAGACATGCGACGCAGGAATTTGTCCTGCTCTTCTACGGTGCCGTCCTCGCTGATCTTGTAGCCCGCAGATCTGTGGAGACAGGTGAGAATGGATGAGTTAGTAAATAGTAAAATTTCCCTTTCAAACATCACGGCCTACGGGGCAAGTGAAGTAGAGCTCACTTGTTTCTGTGACCTCTGCATATAAAGAGATAGTATGGTCAGCACTATGCCCAGCCGCCTTTACTTTCCCTAACTTGAGTTAGGTACCCACCCGAGTTGGGTGGACTCAGGGATGGTCTACTGACTTGAACCCGGATTCGAACTCGAGACTTACGGGTTAGCTGTCCAGCTCTCTACCACTAGACCACTCCGTCCCCAGATGAGTTACAGGTGGTTGATTTACAGGTAAGACTAAGTGAGTTAAGGGTGGAGCTGGCAGATTTCTCAAGGTACATTCAGATATCTAATGTGGTTTTGGGCTACATCTCAACTGTCTATTTCTTTGTAGCACATATCCTAAGGACTTAAATAATGGCTGTCTGCAATATTCAACAAATCTACTGACAAGTCTACTAGCACTAGTCCACAAACCTATCAGCACAATTCAACAAACCTATCAGCACAATTCAACAAACCTATCAGCACAATTCAACAAACCTATCAGCACAATTCAACAAACCTATCAGCACAATTCAACAAAACTACCAATAAACCTGCCAACAAACCTACCTGCACAATTCAATACCTACCTAAACTATTTAACAAACCTCCCAAGAAACCTACCTGTGCTATTGAACAAACTTCTCAAGAAACCTACCTAAACTATTCAACAAACCTCCCAAGAAACCTACCTGTGCTATTGAACAAACTTCTCAAGAAACCTACCTAAACTATTTAACAAACCTCCCAAGAAACCTACCTGTGCTATTGAACAAACTTCTCAAGAAACCTACCTAAACTATTTAACAAACCTCCCAAGAAACCTACCTGTGCTATTGAACAAACTTCTCAAGAAACCTACCTAAACTATTTAACAAACCTCCCAAGAAACCTACCTGTGCTATTGAACAAACTTCTCAAGAAACCTACCTAAACTATTCAACAAACCTCCCAAGAAACCTACCTGTGCTATTGAACAAACTTCTCAAGAAACCTACCTAAACTATTTAACAAACCTCCCAAGAAACCTACCTGTGCTATTGAACAAACTTCTCAAGAAACCTACCTAAACTATTCAACAAACCTCCCAAGAAACCTACCTGTGCTATTGAACAAACTTCTCAAGAAACCAACCTAAACTATTTAACAAACCTCCCAAGAAACCTACCTGTGCTATTGAACAAACTTCTCAAGAAACCTACCTAAACTATTCAACAAACCTCCCAAGAAACCTACCTGTGCTATTGAACAAACTTCTCAAGAAACCTACCTAAACTATTTAACAAACCTCCCAAGAAACCTACCTGTGCTATTGAACAAACTTCTCAAGAAACCTACCTAAACTATTTAACAAACCTCCCAAGAAACCTACCTGTGCTATTGAACAAACATCTCAAGAAACCTACCTAAACTATTCAACAAACCTCCCAAGAAACCTACCTGTGCTATTGAACAAACTTCTCAAGAAACCTACCTAAACTATTTAACAAACCTCCCAAGAAACCTACCTGTGCTATTGAACAAACTTCTCAAGAAACCTACCTAAACTATTTAACAAACCTCCCAAGAAACCTACCTGTGCTATTGAACAAACTTCTCAAGAAACCTACCTAAACTATTTAACAAACCTCCCAAGAAACCTACCTGTGCTATTGAACAAACTTCTCAAGAAACCTACCTAAACTATTTAACAAACCTCCCAAGAAACCTACCTGTGCTATTGAACAAACTTCTCAAGAAACCTACCTAAACTATTTAACAAACCTCCCAAGAAACCTACCTGTGCTATTGAACAAACTTCTCAAGAAACCTACCTAAACTATTCAACAAACCTCCCAAGAAACCTACCTGTGCTATTGAACAAACTTCTCAAGAAACCTACCTAAACTATTTAACAAACCTCCCAAGAAACCTACCTGTGCTATTGAACAAACTTCTCAAGAAACCTACCTAAACTATTTAACAAACCTCCCAAGAAACCTACCTGTGCTATTGAACAAACTTCTCAAGAAACCTACCTAAACTATTTAACAAACCTCCCAAGAAACCTACCTGTGCTATTGAACAAACTTCTCAAGAAACCTACCTAAACTATTTAACAAACCTCCCAAGAAACCTACCTGTGCTATTGAACAAACTTCTCAAGAAACCTACCTAAACTATTTAACAAACCTCCCAAGAAACCTACCTGTGCTATTGAACAAATATCTCAAGAAACCTACCTAAACTATTCAACAAACCTCCCAAGAAACCTACCTGTGCTATTGAACAAACTTCTCAAGAAACCTACCTAAACTATTTAACAAACCTCCCAAGAAACCTACCTGTGCTATTGAACAAACTTCTCAAGAAACCTACCTAAACTATTTAACAAACCTCCCAAGAAACCTACCTGTGCTATTGAACAAACTTCCCAAGAAACCTACCTGTGCTATTGAACAAACTTCTCAAGAAACCTACCTGTGCTATTGAACAAACTTCTCAAGAAACCTACCTAAACTATTTAACAAACCTCCCAAGAAACCTACCTGTGCTATTGAACAAACATCTCAGGAATCTACCTAAACTATTCAACAAACCTCCCAAGAAACCTACCTGTGCTATTGAACAAACATCTCAAGAAACCTACCTAAACTATTTAACAAACCTCCCAAGAAACCTACCTGTGCTATTGAACAAACTTCTCAAGAAACCTACCTAAACTATTTAACAAACCTCCCAAGAAACCTACCTGTGCTATTGAACAAACTTCTCAAGAAACCTACCTAAACTATTCAACAAACCTCCCAAGAAACCTACCTGTGCTATTGAACAAACTTCTCAAGAAACCTACCTAAACTATTTAACAAACCTCCCAAGAAACCTACCTGTGCTATTGAACAAACTTCTCAAGAAACCTACCTAAACTATTTAACAAACCTCCCAAGAAACCTACCTGTGCTATTGAACAAACTTCTCAAGAAACCTACCTAAACTATTTAACAAACCTCCCAAGAAACCTACCTGTGCTATTGAACAAACTTCTCAAGAAACCTACCTAAACTATTTAACAAACCTCCCAAGAAACCTACCTGTGCTATTGAACAAACCTCCCAAGAAACCTACCTGTACTATTCAATAAACCTCCCAAGAAACCTAACTATAATATTTAACAAACCTCCCAAGAAACCTACCTGTACTATTCTACAAACCTCCCAACAAACCTCCCAAGAAACCTACCTGTACTATTCAACAAACCTCCCAAGAAACCTCCCCAGAAACCTACCTGCACTATTGAAGAAACCTACCTGTGCTACTGAACAAACCTCCCAAAAAACCTACCTGTACTATTCAATAAACCTCCCAAGAAACCTACCTATAATATTTAACAAACCTCCCAAGAAACCTACCTGTACTATTCTACAAACCTCCCAACAAACCTCCCAAGAAACCTACCAAGAAACCTCCCCAGAAACCTACCTGCACTATTGAAGAAACCTACCTGTGCTACTGAACAAACCTCCCAAGAAACCTACCTGTACTATTCAATAAACCTCCCAAGAAACCTACCTATAATATTTAACAAACCTCCCAAGAAACCTACCTGTACTATTCTACAAACCTCCCAACAAACCTCCCAAGAAACCTACCTGTAGTACTCAACACTTGACTGTGTCTCCTGCTGTGTGGTGTAGAAGGGCAGGACGTAGGGACACAGAGCCTGTAGGTGAGCCATGAAGAACTCACCCACCACAGGGAAGGCTGACCAAGAAACCTACCTGTAGTACTCAACACTGGACTGTGTCTCCTGCTGTGCGGTGTAGAAGGGCAGGACGTAGGGACACAGAGCCTGTAGGTGAGCCATGAACAGCTCACCCACCACAGGGAAGGCTGACCACAGACTCACAGCCACGGCTGCTATGGCAAAGGCTGACTCGTGTTTGGATGTCACTTGTTCTTCTCCTTTTGTCTAGGGGCAGTAGAGTTTGGTAATTAGAGTCTAGGGCAGTAGAGTTAGGCAATTGTTGTCTAGGGCAGTAGAATTAGGCAATTACTGTCTAAGGCAGAAGAGTTAAAGAGTTAAACAATAATTGTCTAAAGTAGAAGGGTTGAAGAATTTTTGCAAGGCAAATAAGTTGTATAATTATAAATGGCTAGGGCAAAAAAATGCTACATGTTAAAACTTGGTTATCATTCATTTAAGAACTTTTTGGATTTCACTGTAACAATAGCCAATGACAGATTGGTTTTCATTGTTAGAATAACCAATGACCAATTGGGTCTATTGTTAGAATAGCAAATGACCAATTATATTTCACTGTAAGAATAGGCAGTGACCAATGGGATTTCATGTTAGAATAGCCATTGACTAATCGTTACAAACATACCATAAATCAATAAGATAGTTAAAAACTATTTTTCACTCACCACCAACATTTTCGCCACCAAGTTCTGACAAAACAGCAGCGCCTCAGGTGTGTCGCTAGCGGAGACGTATTTCCCCGAGACCTCCACCCTCTGCCCACTCAGCAGCATGTGCAGTTTTTTTATCTTGTCCAGCAAGTGGGCGCCACTGACCGCAGAGATGGCGTTGATGGTTGTGTTGACAGCGCGCTGCAGGTCAAACCTGTACTTCTTCATCTGGTTAGAGCAAGACAGAACTCTCAACTAATTTGTACAGTATTTTATTCAACATTTAAGTTTATTCAGTCTAAATTGTTCTAGTAAATAGATTATTTTTGAATAATTAGAGGAAGCTAAAATTAATAGGCCTAAATAATAATTACTGAAAACATTCATCTACAATATTTGAAGAAATGAGGTATGACTTTGTAATTATCCTAGAGAAGGATTTTTATTTTCAAATGAATAGCTACAATAGAGAAAGTTAAAACTTTATCTACAACTTTTAATGAATTAAACATCTTGATCAAATTGCAAAGTTATATAGTATTTTATTCAATATTAAAATTAATTTAGTTAAGTTTTAATTATTCTAGTAAAAAAGATTTTTATTTTAAATAATAACTATAATAGAGGAAGTTAAATATGGATTAACAATAATTACAGAAAATATTAATCTTCAGTATTTAAAGAAATGAGTTATGACTTAAAATATGCTTTATAAATTTAAATTTCATATGGTATTTTATTCAATACTAAAACTAAATTAATTTAGTACCAATTATTCTAGTAAAAAGATTTCTATTTTCAAATAACTAACTAAAATCAAGGCAGTTAAAATAATGAATGATAATTACAGAAAATTTCAATCTACAATATTTAAAGACATGTTGTATGATTTAAAATATTTTGATTAAAATAAAATAAACAAATTGTTTACCTGTGCATTATTGACGAATGACTGGATGCTAGCTTCAACTTGAGAAAGTTTTGTGGCCTTCAGATTTTTTTGCTCTAAGATGTGTTTGAAGGCTTGAACTAAGAGAAGAAAAAAACATCTCAACCTGTGACTTTGATCAGGTTGATGTGCAGTAAGGCATAAACTACACTAGCTGTACACACAAGTTTTTTTTTTTATCTTTGATTTGGTTTGAAATGTTGGACGGGATTTCCTCCAACATAATAAAGTATTACGTGTCAACATGTTATGTGCCATATGGCTTGTTGACGCCGGCTTTTCTTTCTGAATTTGATTCCATAGCCTTTGTCCATCTAAGAACAAACTACAAGGCAGCAGTTGTTTGATTTGGGGAATTTGGAAGATCGGGTTCACACAGCTCACTGTATTAATGGGGATACTGACTGTCTATGGGGAAGGTGGAGTAGAGTTTACCTGTTTCCTGTGATCTCAGCATATGATACGATAGTGTGGTCAGCACTATGCCTAGCTGAGTTTACTTTCCCTTATGTGGTTCAGGCACACAACAGAGCTGAGTGGACTCAGGGATGTTCTACTGACTAGAACCTGGATTTGATCTCAAGACCATCAGGTTTGTAGTCATTAAGCTCCCATGAGATGGGGAGAGGTAGTCTATAATTCTCACACTAATGTGTACCAATGGAACATAGAGCTGAGTGGTATACCAATGTTTTAACCTTTGAACTCTGACTTACCTCTTAAATCTTGCTCAGCATCAGCTTGTAGCTTTTTGGCCTGAAAATATTTTTTAAAAATTTTTCATAAACCATTAATTAATTACCTCAGAAGGTGAGATAAAAAATTTAACAAATAGAAATTTAGGAAAGTTACAAGCAGTACAATTTTAACCATGGTGAACTTTGACCTCATATAAAAACACATCAACTTACTTTTGAACCCTGTTATTAACATATAATTTATTCCAGTTTGGGGATAGATCCTTAAATAGCCTTACACAGTGTGCAAAATCAAAATACAAGTCCAATTCAAGATGTATTATAGTTTATTTATATTACACCAATCCATCTCCTACTGTACTTTTCTACACACTATTTCTACTGTTTCAATTAACTTTAAACAACACTTAAACTCTAACTACAACTGCTTTTTTCACATGACTGTTTAACTCAGCTATTCCTATCAAACTGTTAACACTTAACTTCGCCCTACACACTCCAATGGTCAACTGCTGACCGTCTCACATGAATGGTCAGTTCGTTCCACTGCAATTCTACTTGACCATTGTCTTGGAGACCTACGCTATTATTCTACCTGTCACCTATCTTTGAATCTTGCCTGCGTCATCACACTTACCCACAATTCAATCTGACCCCTGGTGTCGCACCTACCTGCAATAATTTTTGCTGATCATCAGCTTTTTTCTTCTCCTCTTCTTTTTTCTTTTCCTCCTCTGCTTTTACTCTAGCCTCTACCTCTCCTACAAACAAACAAACAAACAAACACAACATTTAGCTAGTGTGGGCTCTGAAGGCTTACCAATAATAATTTAATACACCTTTATGCTCATTTTAACAAGTAGCTCTACATCAAAGGGTAACAGTACAGACTGTTATAAAAAAAATGGTTAATATAACAATAATTGAAATATGGAAATGATAATAAATATATTTAAAATATATTTACTAACTGTACCAAAAAAAAAAGTTTTGACACAATAACATTTTTAAGTCGCTTGATTAGCAAATTAAGAAATGAGATTTAAAAATAATGATCAAAGAGTTTTTTTTTATAAAGGTAGGGGATTAGCAAATAAATAAATGAAATTTCAAAATAAAGATCACATTTTTTTTATTAAGCCTGGACATTAGAAAATAAATAATGAGATCTTACAATAATATAAAAGAGTTTTAAAGCTACTTTATTCAGCTCAGGTGTGTACATTCTAAGTGAAAAATTCAAAATGTGACAATGCTCTACCTGTTAATTTCTTGAGGGTGTCAACATCTCTTTGTATTTTATTACTAAAGTCTTCAAATGTTTTTATATGGTCATCAGTAATATTGGATGAGTTCTCTATATCCTTAGCCTACAACAGAATTTATTTGTTTTACATTTATCATGAACAATGTAAAAACATTATTAAAAATGTTATGAGTTTAAAAGTAAAATTAAAATAAAAACAAATAAATAATTTTATATGGTGTTTAATTCAATAGAAGCCTACTAAGATTAAAATAACTTTAAAACAAAAAAAAGTATGTATTGGTACTTGGTTTATAATTATTAAAAACTAAAATTTAAAATGATAAAGTATTAAAATGTCCCCTATCAACTGTATAAAACAAGTGTTCAACTATTTACCTCACTAGCTTTCACATCACATTCTTTCTCCAGCTGAACACGGCGCTGATGGACGGCTTCAGGCAGGCTGGACATGTGCTGGAAGCTGTCAAAGTGCTGGACAAAGGCTGACCTGTTGGCCAGGATCTGCTGGACCAGGGACTGGAACTTTTCTGTTTGTTGTTTCTTGCTGGAGATGGACATTTTGGTTGAGACAGAACTTGTCAGGGCAGATATGAGAAGGGGTATTGTAGGGTGGGGGTAGGGGCAGAGATATGAGTGGGGGTGGGGGTGAAGGGTAGAGACATACGTGGGATGGGGGCAGACATGCTCTGTATGGTTGGGGTAGGGGCAAAGACATGAGGGGGGGGGGGGGGGGTAGAGACATGCATGGGGTGGGGGTAGGGGGCAGACATGCTCTGGATGGTGGGGCTAGGGCAAAGACATGAGTGGGGGTGGGGGTGAAGGGTAGAGACATGTGTGGGGTGGGGCAGACATGCACTCTACGGTGGGGGTAGGGGCAAAGACATGAGTGGTGGGTGGTGGGAGTGGGGGGCACAGACATGCATGGGGTGGGGGTAGGGGGCAGAAATGCTCTGGATGGTAGGGGTAGGGGCAAAGACATGAGTGGTGGGTGCCAGTAGAAACAAGGGTGGGAGTGAGGGTAGGGCCAGAGACATACATAGGAATGTGGGTAGGGGCAGAGACATACAAAGGGGGTGGAGGTAGGGTCAGAGACATACACAGGGTGGGTTGTAGGGGAAGAGACATCCACAAAAACCTATTTTCTCCCTAAAGGAACCTCACTATCTACTCCCTAAAGGAACCTCAATATTCCACTTACTGTCTTCTTGCCTCATCTTGCAGAATTTCTCTCTTTCTCTCAAGTTCTTTCTGTATTGTGGTGACTTTCTGTACAAGTACCAAAAAAAAAATTAATAATGACTCTACTTAATCTCTATTTAATAACACTATACACACATTTTCCACAAATTCATGCATGTTTTATGAATTTTCAGACTTGCAAGCTGAAATCTCAGTGATAGCCTCCCTTATATAAAGAAAGAAAAAGCAAGCTAAAAACTCGGTGATAGCCTCCCTTGGATAAAGAAAAGAAAATGGTGGGCCTACCCTGTGGTGTTCTTGGTGGACTTCTTTTAAATTCTGGAGAAGTTTGTTGGTCTCTTCAAGCCTATCATTTGAAACATAAGAAAAACTGAGTTAATCTTGCTGAATGATTGATTAAAAATTTTAAAATGTAAAAACTTATTAATGTATTTGTCATAAAAGCACAGACTTGAGTAAAAGGTTTTTGTTCTCTCCATTTCAGATTTGCAATTGTTTAGGTGTCATATAGTTAAAACTAGCTCATTTAAGGCAAGTAATCTAATTCAATTTCTTTAGTTCAAATGCAAAAAGTATGTCTTTTATTAAAACAGCGATGCAAAAGTGTTGAGTTCAGTTCAACTCCAAAATTTAAAAAATGCTGTCTTGCAGATTGTTCCTGGCGAGAGGCAGGATGTAAATCCAGAATGAAAAGCAGGCTGAAGCCACAGGTTGCATGGTGCATAACATGTGTAGCCGTAATGCTTAGTTACATTGGGGGAAATCACCTCCAATAAATTACAATTAAGAACGAAGAGGAAGAAAGTGAATAAAAATTACCCTTCTTGTTCTTTGATATATATGAAATTGTTTCTGCGGTTAGCTTGGTCTTTGTGCTTGGCTTCTATCTCTGCTTCCCCTCGTCTTGTTAGTTCCTGCAGACTTTTGTTATGTTTTATATACTGATCTCTTCTCTCTGCCAAGGATAACTGTTTTAAGAAAATAGAAATGGACATTTGGTAATTATTTATCAAAATGTTTAAAAACTTATAATTAGTAAAATATGGAGACATATTTATAAGTGTACATGGTATGTTAAAATTCAGTGATCTTATGGAAAACTAATTTTTTTTTAATTTAAAAGTGAAACTTTGATTATTATGTTAAAAAAAAACTAAATCTAATTTTATAACAATCTGTAATTGAAAATCTAAATATACCAATACAGTAAGTATATCTGTGCTAAATATGTTCAGAATAGAAAAGTTGTTATTAAGGTGACTGAAAAGATGCACAACTGAAAACTCCGCAAGGGCATTATTACTTTCTTAAATCAAACATTTATAGCGATTGGCAAAAAATGAACTCATGTACACTGTAGCATAATAAAACACTTTTCCATTTGAGCGTCTATCTGGGAACCTATATTAAAGCAGGAAAATCCTTTATGTAAAATAAAATATAAACCAGTACCAGTTTAGAAGAGTTCCACTTGTTTTCTGCCTCAACAACAGCGTGAGCCGTGGTGCCAAACTCTGGTGATACCGGACAAGACGCAGCATGTAGGGCGGAGGGCTTACGATGCTGGCGTGTGGTAGAGGGTAATGGGGCACTTATGTCTAGGTGATCTTGTTTGCTGTCACAGAGAGAGATGTTTAATCATATTAGCAATACTTAAACACTTAATCTGTCACTTTCAAAAGTAGATCCACTATTTGATTGTTTTGTGATAGAAGAGTTAAGCACATTGATTAACTAGGTTAAAATATTTTTATTTGAAAGAAATGTAACTATTTTAAGGCTAATTAGTTTTATAATATTTTAATTAAAATACAATATAACTGTTCCAAAAAAAAGGCACTTTTAGATAACATAACAGAATAGTACCTTTGCAAGCAGACATTAATTAATGACAAAAAATGATTTAATAAAATGATCGTCAATAATTCCTTGTTAATAGCTAACATAAGACATGAAAAGAATTTCATATCAATTATGTAATAAACTCTAAATTATGATAAATGGAACAATTTTTGGCACAATACATATTTTTGAAATTAAAAATTTAAGCCACGGTTACTTTATTTTAGCAGTAAATATATTAAGCTGAAGAAAATTAAAAACCTCAAGTCCTTCTTTTCCTCAGTATCCTCATCGTAGGAAGAATAACTACAACTGTTAAATCCCTTGCTGTTTGAGCTGTAGAAGGACAACACTTGTGTGTTCTCACTGTCATTGTTGTTGCAACTGTTTTCGTTAAGGCCGACAAAGTCTGATTCGTCCAACCCAAAGCTTAAGTTTTTCTTTGAAGTTTCTTTTTCTTCATGGTATCTTGACAAAGGTGGAGGGGAGAGCTGGCCCAACTCATCCTTGACAAGAAATCAAATAATTAATGGAACAAACTTTATTAGGATGTTGTGTAATTACTAATTTGATCCATTATAAAATATTTAATGTCACTTAACTTGAATGATATATTTTGAATAGGATGTTGACATAGTTACTAGTTTAATCTACTTATAATATATTTAATGTAATATATTTAAATAAATATTTTGACTATATAATTGCTAATTTTATCCAACTTGTCAATATAATTTTACAAATAGGCAAATATCTTTCAGTATAATTTTAGAATTTTTATTTACAACTGAAGTTATTCATCAGAGTGAATAAATTGTGAGATGTGGAAATAGCAGGACAAAGTGTAAAATGCTAGTTGTGTGAAAAAAGTTGTTGATAAAACCTAGTAGTCTATCATCTGGTAAAAGTGTGGAAATGTCAGCTAAAGTTTTACTTCGCAATAAGTGTATAGGCTCCCCTATTTTATGGTCTGATAAAATAAGCTTATGGCTTATGGTAAAGTTGTTTTTTTCTAGACCTGTATAGTACACATGTTGCAAGTGTAAATGCTATGTTAGAAATTAGGGTTCGACGTATGGTAGGAATAGGGTTGGGATTAGCATTAACATTAGTAACATATGTCATATGACATATATGCGTTGTTAACTATCAGTTCTTTAACACCCCTTTTTAAAAAAGATTCTATTGTGCCATTATGATTATCTCAATATCTGTCAATGGTATAGTAAATTAACGAAAACTTGGGTAGGCCTGAACAGCGAACTAACAATGATTGTCTGTAATAATTCTAGTCTAAACTCTAATAAATAGACTCTTCCAAATATTAAATATAGGCATAGGTGTGTTGTGTAGTGTGTTAGGCGTTAGGTAGGTTGTTACGTTAGTTAGGCCTATAGCTTTATTTATAGTAGGCAGTTTGATGAAAAATTAAAATTTTTTTTTTTTTTTTAAAAGTATCAGTAATAGCTAGGACAATGGTAAACTAAGTCAATTTAGCATATATAAACTTTCTGTGCAAAGTCATTATGACTGAAAAAAAATTCCAAAGTCATGGGTCCGTGTGGCATAGCTAATGAAGAAAAAACTCCTAGACCTGTGACCTGATTTCATGAGTGGATATCTGGATTATTTTTTAACATTTTTCAATGAAACTTAACAGAAGCATATTAAAATAGCTTAGAAATGAATGTAGATAGCTAAAAGTAACCAAGATTGATTAATAACTTTAAAAAAAAATATTAATGAATAAGGTTGGCAGATATTGGTAACACAAAAAATTGGCCTTATAGTTCTAATTTTAAAATCATCCATATTTATTATTTTAATTACTTAGACTGTGCACACTTATTATTTAGGCAGTTTACAATGGGAGTCAGTATTTGAAGATCTAAAGTAGGATCTATTTTATGAAATTATGTGGGACATTTAATGGGCGTTTCCTTTCTATAGAAACTAAAAATCTTAAATGAAGCTATGTTCTAAAGCACACTAAATTGACTACATATTTTTTTAGGTACAGAACAGTCTGCCTAAAGATAAGACATACTATATCAGATTAGATTTAAGCAATTGTGACTGTCCCCTTCTCTTTTTTCATCCTTGATTTGGGACCAGGCTATGTCGGAGTTACACAACACAATACATACAGGCATAATAACAAACTAGTTTTACAATCATCAAATAAGGCTATGTAATATGTATGTACATATTTACACAAACAAGACAATAAATTGTAATTAATGTACTTGTCAATAAATTTGAAAAAAATATATACAACACAGACGACAAGTAACAAGTAAATTCTTTAAAAATCCAATGTTAAATGTACATATTTACACATACAAGACAATAAAATTGTAAATAATGTACCTGTCATTGAAGTTGAAAAATTGAAAATAAAAAAATATACATGACCCACCAGTTTTGTGTTTTTTTAACAGTGTACAAATATTGACTTTAGATTGACTTAGTGTTCAGAATCAGTGCGATGTATTGATTTTTTTTGTATTGCAATACCAAACATACATCTCAATTCATATTGTTTAAACTCCTGATGGTTTTAGCCAGACAAATTACTTCTGATAATGTAACATGTCAGTGGTGTATTGACAAATTCTGACTATGATGTTCAGAATCAATGTGTTATGGTGTAGGACATAATTCACATTTTCCAATTGTAAACTTCAGCCATCTGACAATGTAAATATGTCTGTGGTGTATATTATATTGAATGGCAAAACTGACTCTGATGTTCAGAATCAATGTAATATAGAATAGGACATAATTAACATTTTGTGAGAAAAAAGGATTGACAAAATGTAATAATACTGAATATTATCTATAAAAGACATCATAATTACACTCACCAACCACTAATAATTTCACAAAACCACCACCAAAAATCTCACAAAGTCCCACCCCACGACAAAAAACACAATTTCCCAAAAGAATGACAAAATAACGTACTATGTGACATTTTTTAAGCCCCCACCCGCCCCACCCCCTTCCAGAAGATGGCCCGTGCCATGATCATATTTTGTCAGAAACAATTAGCAAATTATTAATTAAGGTATGAATTACTCAAGTAATAATAATATAAGAACTGTTTGAAGTGGTATTTAATAAACTAACTAAGAATTATGATGACTATTATGGGTTCTTGGCATCTAACTAAGGCATCTGCATTCCTAACTAGAACAGCACTTGAAGGTCAAGGACACACTCAGTCACACACCATAAACAAAAAAAAAACTGTCGATATCTTAACAATCCAGTTTTAAAATAAGTAAATAAAACATATCTGTCTCTTAATGGCTAAGTTATCAAAACTTTATTTCAAATTGTAAGCGCGAATAAAGTTTTTTTCATTCAAGTTAAGTGTTTTTCACTCTAACAGTCCGTCAATGCCAACCCCACCCCTTCACCTCTTCCGGAATCGATGATTAGATTATTATAAAATGGCGCCTTGAGAGGTTTTTAGTATGGTGATTTATTCTTAAAAATGTACTGTTTGGATAATAAAATTATTACACAATTCTATTTTTATTTGATAGTGAAGATATTAAAAAAAGGGAAAATAATAATAAAGTTAGGGAAATACGCTCCTGCTTTAGTTTATTCAACTTGAAACACACGCTAAATAAGCGTGACTTTCTCTCGACAGCCTCGTTAAATACAAATAAAGAAATTAGGTCAAAAGTACATCTGGGAATTCTTAAATAACAGACTGAAATAGAAACGGATAGTTTCGATGTCTAAAATTAACGATGACCTCGTTATTTTTAGTTTTATCCCTCTACCGTTTAGTGAAAGCGAAACTAGTCGCCATTTTTAGTAAGCGCATGAGCCGTGAGATGCCACGAAAATGACAAACCCGGAGGTGTTGAATCGAACGGCTTATTTATAGCCTATATATAAATTTTATAGGGTAATATTAGGGATTTTGGTAAAAAAACACTAATCATCATATAAAAATAAAAATTACATATTCTTGTAGAGCTCAACTATATGAAAACAAAACAAAAAAGATTTTCTGTCTAGCTCAAATAGTTTTTTTTTAGCGAATTTTTTTGTGAGGGGTGGAATGCCCTTGCTTTTGCATTGGCCAATTGTGACAAGTCATGGTATACCTGAATAAATTGAGCATAGTTATTTTACTTGCAGTTGTATTTTGTTCATATTTGCAGAGTTGAGCTAGAATGATATATAGATCTTGTATATGCTGTAAAAATAAATAAAAATAATACAGAAGTATATTTTTGTGTTGGCTTCCTTCCATAACCCCAAAAAAACTGTGCTGCGCAAATATGAAAATGTTTCTAAAGCAATGTTTTACAGTGAATGAAAGAACTACAAAGTTAGCAATCTAAAGTAAATGACTTGAACACTGAAATGTGCATATAACTGCCCCATTATTTTGGGCAGGTGAAGTAGAGTCCATCTTTAAGACATTTTGTTATAAAACTGTGCTGCGCAAATATGAAAAAGTTTCTAAAGCAATGCTTTATATAAATACAGTGAATGAAAGAACTACATAGTTAGCAATCTAAAGTAAATGACTTGAACACTGTAATGTGCATATAATTGCCTTATTATTTTGGGCAGGTGAAGTAGAGTCTATCTTTAAGCCATTTTGTTAAAAGTGAACTGAAGTTATCTGATCAAGGTTTTTATGTGTGTATTGTGTATGAATTCTGATTTTCAGCATATAAATATAACTAAGTAAGGGTAAGTAGAACTTGAATACTTAAAATTACAGTTAGCACATAGCTAGTGTAGTGTATTCTAGCAACAGAGAGGTAACCTATGTCTGACTCAGCAAAATTTTACTTCAAGCAAAACTAGAACCAGAGTTGAAAAAATGAAAGACAGGTAGATCTATATTAAAATATGTTTAAAACAACAAGTAGGAGATTTGTTTGTACATTACATAAGAATACTGTTGTTAGTGTATCAAAACTAAAAGCTGGCAGATCGGGATGAAGAAATATAACATTGGAGTCAATGGGGGCAACGTGACCTACTTACGGTGACTACTTTCAAATGAGTATTTACTAATGTCAAAGTCAAAATATCCAAAAATAAATATCATTTCTATAAAAATGGGATGTATCTGCTTTGGAAACTTTCATTATCTAAATGGAAACTTTTCAAAAATCGCGTTTTTAAAGCATTTGAAGTTAACCTTTATACCGCGGTAAGACCAAAGCAGAGACAGCATGCAATCAGATCGCTAAGCCATCAAAACAACTGGAAAACCATTCTACTTTTCATTTAACATTAGGAAATGACCTTTTAAACTTAATTAATTACCATAAATTAAAAACTTATTAGTATGCAAAACTAAATCTCGTGCGCCCGGTATCAGAAAGTAATGGGAGATTTCGGGTCATGTTTTTACCGCGATCTCGGCCGATACCGACAAGCCTAGTAATATAATAGGCCTATGATTAATTTATTTAATAATAGGCCTATGTCTAGGCCTAATAATACTAATAGGTTTAAATTTTAAATGTAAATTTACTACTTCACGTCTACTCAAAGAGTGACTCACTACGCACTGACTGAGTCACTTGTTAAAACTTGTTTTTGTACTTACCAACAATTTCAAACAACTGCTGTTCAAACTTTTACCAATATACTTCAGTTGACCCTTAGAAGTGCTTCTTAGTAGTTCACTTACTGAAGTCATTTTGACAATATTAACTAGTCTCTAAGCCCTAAGCCTATCTTTATAATACAAAGTTTATTCATTATATTTTTACGCTTTCACTACATAGCCTTTTATCGAGTTTCACTTTCCAAGATCAATTTCATTTTAGAATAGCGTCCCTTAGATTTAATAATGTAAAATTGTGGACCGGTTTAGTTGTTATAAAATTTATTAAGGATTAATATTATTGGCAACAGAACAATTATAAATCTCAGAAATTAAGCAGTTTAATTAATACAGATCAAAGGAAACTTAATTTCCAAACATAAAATTATTTTTATATATTTATTGTATGTTTCACAACTCTAATTTAAAAATTCTGAAGTAGATCGAGGTCTATATTTGTAAATTTTTTTTCCCTCATTGCAAGGCTTAGGGTTCATCCATAAATGACGTCACGCTTTTTTGACGATTTTTACCTCACCCCCCTCCCGTCCGTCACACGTCGTCACAAAAGCCAGACCCCCCTCACCTTAATGACGTCACACCTCAGCCTACACCCTCCCCCCTCAAATCGCTGTTGACATTTTCCCCCCTACCAACATGACGTTATTTATGGACGACCCCTTACAGAAACCATTCATACCATGCTGTGTGTAGCTGTAAGCGTACAGTGAGGCTGTGTGTTAACTGCCGGGCGTGGTGTGTGCGTGCGTGTGCATGTGTGTATGTGTGAGTGTATGTGTATGTGTGTTTGTGTGTAAGCGATACCGAGACAGCATTTGTCATCATAGTTTCTTTCAGGCATCAATGCAATTTAAGTAGAAAAGAATATACTTTCACCAGTGTCCCTGTCCCTGCCCCCCCTCCCCCGAAAGTTTTTTCCGTGGGGAAGGGGGGGGGGGTGGGGGGTGAAAGTGTGTGGGACGGAATTAGTGGTGTATTAAAAGAACGAGGGGGGATGTGGATTGTTAGACAGAGGAAGGGCGCCGCCACGGGCACCCCACCCCCCCCCCCCCCACACACACACACGGGCGCCAAGCGAGGTAGAAAAAAATTATAAAACTCATTCTGTTCTGCATTACGAAGGTAAGAAAATTGACTGCTACTTGGCTTGAATGACTTAATTAACTGTGTTCTGCATCCATAGGGTGACACCAAAATAAAAGTGGTTAAGGGACAGTTACTGGTAAAAAGCTCCCCGACCTCTCCATACGGGAGACGCTTTTCGCCGTCGTGGATAACTTTATATAATAACGGGAGGGGGGGAATAAGTTCGCTCCGCCTCTGTTGTTAGAGAAGCTAGAACCCCCCACCCCCACCCATACCCATGTCCAGAGGCGTAGCGAGTGGGGGGCGGGGGGACATATGTCCCCGGGTTCCGACCTTAGGGGGCGCCAAAATGGGTTGGAAAAACAAATTGAAAGTTTGAGGGGGAGGGGTGCAAATTGAAAATTTGAGGGGGGGGGGGGTGCAAATCGAAAGTTTGTCCCCGGGCGCCGGGAACGGTCGCTACGCCTCTGCCCATGTCACCCCTAAGTAAAAAACCGTCTCACGTTAAGTTAGAGTTATCCGTGACACTCGCGTTGAATTACGTTATAAAATTTCAAGATCTTAGAATGTCATAAACACAACAGATTGATGTTCTTAAAATCGATATGGAATATTTTTAGGCTATATGGCCTATATATATATATATATATATATATATATATATATATATATATATATATATATATATATATATATATATATATATACCATTTGTTGCTAGAGACTTGTCGTTGTTTAAATAACGATCTACAATGAAGATCTAATAGCTAGGATCATTCCTGTCCTGTTAAATATGATATATTCAATGTAAACAGCAAAGATTATTATAAGACACTATTTTGGGATCCGTACAACCCCAACGATCGATATACCACGAAACCATAAACTACTGAATATGATTTAGTACAAATCGAACCATTTCCTATTGGTACTAGATTATATTGGTACGTAGACCTATAGCATTGTACCGAAGGTTTGTAGGAGATTTGATAGCCTGGCTATTTAATGCCCCTGACAATGCCCCCGGCAATGCCCTGGGTCTAGGCCTAGGGGAAAGTGTCATCTGTCACTTCCACTGTTTAAACTGGGGTCATCTCGAGGTCAATCGATAACAGAAGACAGGGTCGAATCTACATAACAATATTTGTTATTGGTGAGTGGTGGCATGGATTAGAATAAACTAGATCACGGGGGGGGGGGGTATTAAGGGGGTGGGGGAATGAGGGAAGGTATGGGAGTGCTGAGGAAGAAAAGTTTTAGTAGCAGATTGTTGGAAACTGCACTGTACTGACGTCAAGGCATTGTTTGACTTGTGATGTGGAAATGCTAAGCGTGTGATTTGAAAATGTTGTGATTTGAAGAGGTTTTACTTGTGATATAAAAGTTTATTTTGTTACACATAGAAGTTTAACTGACGATAAAGTTTAACTGACGATATGTATGTTTAACTTGTGATATGGATATATATAGCCTGTGATATGTTGATGCTAAGCATGTGATATGGAAATGTTTAACTTGATATACACAGACGTTTAACTGAAGATACGTGTAAGCTTAATTTTTTATATGTAGATATATAACCTGTGATATGTAGATGCTAAGCATGTGATATAGGAATGTTCAACTTGTTATACACAGACGTTTAACCGACACTTATGTATGTTTAATTTGTGATATGGAGATATATAACCTGTGATATGGAAATGTTTAACAGAAGAAACCCAGGTGCTAATGTACCTACGTAAACAAAGTTAAACACCAAAACAAAAAACGTATTCACATTCTGGTGCTTATTCTCACTGTCTTAAGTTCAAATCGTCAGGAACATTTATTTTCCGAGAATGCTTCAGTTTATTTTCCCATGAATGCAGTGGAGTAAGTGAGATAGGGCTTATATGTTTCCATATTTAATTACATTTCTTGATTGCAGTTGAAGCACGTGAATAAAAGACATGAAGTGTTGAAGTGTTTGTACGTGTGCGTGTGTGTGTGGGGGGGGGGGGGGGTAAGGGGGAGCGGTGCGTAGGGGATGGGGTTGTACAAGAGATTTACAACCTTATTTAAAAAAAGGCTAAATAAAAAGCCGTCGATACATCTAATATCAGTCTAAAAAAGTTCCTCTTTAGACCTAGCGATGAAGCAGAGGCGTAGCAACCCTTCCCGGCGTCCGGGAACAAACTTTAACTTTCAATTTGACGCCCCCCCCCCCCCTCGGGAGCAGCCTTTCAATTTGCACCCCCTCCTCAAACTTTTGATTTGCACCCCCCGCCCCAAACTTTCGATATAATGCAAAAATGCAGCTAAAATGATATTTCAATTTGTTTTTCCAACCCATTTAGGCGCCTCCTAAGGTCGGCGCCCGGGGACATATGGACCACCCCCCCCCCGCCCCCTTCGCTACGCCTCTGCGATGAAGTAAGTTCATGTTTCTTGACCTCGGCATATGAAGGGATTATGTGTTCAGCACTATGCCCAGCCGCCGTTACTTTCCCTAACGTGAGTTAAATACCCATCAGAGTTGGGTGTTCAGCACTATTCCCAGCCGCCTTTACTCTCCCAAACGTGAGTTAAATACCCATCAGAGCTGGGTTGATTCAGGGACGTCATAGTCACAGGTCCGAACCGACATCCGAACACAAGACCCAAACGCTCTACTATTCAACCCCATAATGCTAAATACTTTACTGAATATTGGTAAAGGTATAGTGACCCACGCTTTACTTTAATGCAGAGGCGTAGCGACCCTTCCCGGCGCCCGGGGACAAACTTTTCGATTTGCACCCCCCCCCCCCTCAAACTTTCGATTTGCACCCCCCTCAAGATTTTGATTTGCACCCTCCCCCCCCCCCCTCAAACTTTCAATTTGCACCCCCTCAACCTTTCAATTTATTTTTCAAACCCATTTTGGCGCCCCCTAAGGTCGGCGCCCAGGGACATGTGTCCGTCCCGCCCCCCCCCCCCCCTCGCTACGCTACTGCTTTATAGTAATTTAAATAGTAGAGTATAATTAGATATTGAAAGAAAATCTATTTTATCCTTTATCGTGCATTATTACATAAAATGCTTGTTAATAAAAACGTTTTTAATGCAATTTTTTTTAAAAAGTATGCCTAGCTTGCTTTTTTTTTCCATTAAAATCAATGAAAGGGAAACAACTCATTATTTAAGACACAATTTTTTCAAAATGTATTATGTTTGGTGTCTTCATATTGATGTGACATCTTTTTAAGGTAGTGGTCGAATTTTAAAAAACTGGTGCATTTTGCCGAAAACATAAATTATAAAATTGACTTTAATAATATAAATTCCTGAAATGTAAGCCTGATAAACTATAATAGTATTAGTTTTTTTTAATTGTAGGGGGGGAGGAGATGTCATAGCGTAGATATAAAGAATTAGACGACTAGTAGAGGTTACAAAGGACGGTGCGAACTTGACTGTAGACGATTTGGTGCGAGAGTATTGTGCGCATGTTGAATACAATATTTGTGGCGCGAATGTGACGTGAGCATGACACGACAATGTACCAATGACGTAGACCGCGGCAGTAACGTGAGTTGGGGGTTAGTAATGGTAGGAGACGGATGTATTCTTTGATATTGTGCAAATAAGTGTGTATTAATAAAGTTAGTGTTCTTTTCATAAACGAAGTGGTTGACGTTTGTTAATTAGTGTCTGCGGAACATAAGAGTGATTCCCGTCCTACTCACAAGTATAATAGTTGTCGTATGAATAGTAGCAGATCAGAATATAGAGAAGATATAATTATATAATATATATGAAACCCCCCATCACATATATGTTGTATTTGTAACAAAATTGTTTAATTACAGGCTATTAAAATATAATATTCGTTTTTGTCACTATTCCGCTCATCGCTAAGATATAACAATAATATTTTTTAATTTCCCTACATAGAAAATGCTTAACTGTCCCATTGACTTCTCTGAAAAATTTCCTTTCCTCTCCCCACCCAGACTTCTGACACTTTCATTTGACCTTCACCCCTTTTACTGTCATCCTTTGCAATTTTTTTTTTATAATCAAATACATGACATCATGTAAATATTCATTATGTACATTTGCAAAACCTTTCGTTTTCATTTGGTGTTCAAAATTATGTTAAAAAATTTGATGTTGATGTACTTGTTTTAATTGCAAATAAAAGTATTAAAAAAAAAAATGAGTGGAAAAAAAAAATATTTTTTAATTCATAATTGAAGAGCCCAGTGCTAAAAGTACTTAAGTCACATTTTTGTGAAAATCAAACCAAGCATTGATCGTTATTCCTCTAGTTTAACTTTATCTTATAAACAAATAGTGATACTGAAGAATTTATTTAATTTGCTCTTCCAAACAAACAAATAATATAAAAACGTAATGTTTCATAGTAAATTTTAATCTTCGAACTCATTTTTCTCAAAATGTTGTTTTTGTGACTTAAGTACTTTTAGCACTAAGGTCTTCAATTGCTGTCTATTTAATCTACCTGCTGAAATTTATGCGCGACCCACTAAATGTTGTTTCACACGCGTCCCTTTCTTAGTGCACTCTGTCGCACAGCTGTCAACCAAATCAGATCATACTCATCTCCGAAGAAAATGGCTGCTAGTCCCAAAAGAGCTAAGCTGTCTGATGAAGAAAGGCCTTCAATACTTTCCACACTCAAAGAATCTGGCTGGACTTTGGTTGAAGGCAGAGATGCTATTTATAAAGAATTCATTTTCAAAGATTTTAATCAGGCATTTGGATTTATGACCAGAATAGCAATAAAGACAGATAAAATGGATCATCACCCAGAATGGTTCAATGTTTATAACAAGGTACAAATTACTCTGAGCACCCATGATATAGGAGGCTTGTCTCACAGGGATGTTACGCTTGCTAATTTCATTGAAGAAGTGGCAAAATGAGATGTGGCATATCTAGAGTAATTTGGAGAAGTCTAATTCATGAATATCAGATCAATATGATTTATTTGCATAGACAAAGTAGAATGCTGGGTGAAATAAAAATCATTCCTTTCAAAATGAACATGACATTTACAAAATGAAACGGATTGGTGCAACTGCTTAATTAAAATCTACTTAGGAGCAATAAGTTATAATTACTTCTGCAAATTCCTCTTTACAACAGGATAATTCATAGTCTTGACTTTTCTTCTGTTACAAAAAAAAATCAATAGTACTGTTAGTCCATTTATTAAAACAAATTGGTAGATGCTAATTTTGTATGTATTTGTTTATAAAAGTCTTGTCAATGTTTTGAATTTCACTGAAATTATATGTAGATGCATTGTAAAAGCTATTTCTGATTTTTTTTTAATTTATGGACATTGTCAAAAATTTTCTAGTTTAATGTTTAAACAGATAACCATTAGGTAACGCTAGAACTGGAAAGCTCATAAGCAGAATTCAATTAGCCAGATGCATTTATTTGTATTTTTAGCTAACAAAAATGTGTTCTTTCTTTAATGTCAATTTTGTTGCTTTTTTAATATGTAATATACATGTTATTAAAACACAGTCAGATATTTTGCAATTTACCTGATTAAAATTATTAAATATTTAAAAAAAAAAATCTTTTAATTCAAAATAACATAAGACGTACGAGCCGGCCCGCGGCATAACATACGCCGCTATTTAGTTGTTGTTTTTTCTACTTTTCAGTAATTCATAATTGGTGAATTCGACGGTACCAACGCTGCCACTGAAAATATTTATTTAAAACACTATAAGTAGCACGTTAAGGACCAGAACCTCCCCCCCCCCCCATTCCCTCCCCCTCCCCCCACGTTTAAAATCGTTTCCAACTAAATTATCTGCCCCTAATACTAATAGTCGTCACTAAACCCAGCTCTGCTTGTAAACATTTAGAGTGAACACAGCTCACTAAGACCATGTAGGGGTGGGGGTGGTAGGGAGCGCGTTTACAGTTTGTTTTCTAGCGTCTCCCAGAAGAGAATTATATATAGCAAAGATAAAAATGAAACTTATTTTCACAAAACTATATAAAAAAAATAAAAAATATCTTTTAATTCAGTTATATCGATAATGCCATTATATCCTGTTATATCTTCTTTTTTCTTTTTCGTTCTTAATAATATTGGAAAGTATTCCCTCCAACGCAATTAAGTATTACCCTATATGCCGTGGACGCCTTTTCAGCCTGCTTTTCTTTTTGGATTTGCTTCCATAGCCTTTGTCCATCCAAAATCAAATTACAAGGCAGCAGTTGCTTGATTGTGGGGTTGTCTCTCCTAGAAGAGTTGCTGTCCCCAGTTATTGAGCCTCTTCTGCCCGGGGGTTTCGGGTATATCAATAATATCATTATATCCAGTTATATCAATAATATCCTAATATCCGGTCCTCTAATGTTTCAAAAGCTGATCCCATTGACCCCTACTTGGAAAGGAGAAAATACAGTTGACACTTCTCTAACCCCCACCCCACTCCAACAAAGACAATAATAACAGAAACAGTAGGGTATCATTCATCCAATCAATGGCTTCAATTCTCTCACGTGATGTTGAATAACCAATGACGAAGTGTACACATGTCCTATTTGTTGTGCGAGCCCAAAAGCAATGGTTTAATAAAATACTTAAAAAAAACTTTTTAAAAAACCACGTTTTTCTTGTGGACTAAAAAGTAGAAAATAAATTTTCATACATTTGATGACAAAAAACGTGGGTACGTTCACCATCAAATTTCCCGACCCATCTGCCCGACCCACGTTTTTTGTCATCAAATGTATGAAAATTTATTTTCTACTTTTTAGTCCACAAGAAAAACGTGGTTTTTTAAAAAGTTTTTTTTAAGTATTTTATTTTCTCCTTTTTAGTCCGTTGCTACACATGAAAAACGTGTTTTTTAAAAAAGTTTTTTATATAGTTTATTTTCTACTTTATCTAATGACTTGATTAAGTATGAATTGACTAAGTGTTTATAAATACACGGACTAAAAAAATCTTGAGCGACCAGGATTCGAACCTGGGTTGTCGCGGCCACAACGCGAAGTACTAACCACTATACGATCACGGCCAGCGCGCTCACATCGATTGGGGCCGAAGTAACTGTGTCAACAAGCCTCCAGTCTTGTCGGTATCTTTAGAAATCATGTCCTCAATTTTATGGTCCTTTGGGCGTAATTAAATTAAGCTAATTACGGTCTCTAATTGCTAGTTTTTATGATTGCATCTGAAATTGTTAGGCGAAAGTAACCTGCATGCCAAATTTCAGATCTATAGAGCAATCAGAAGTGGGCTAATTTTCGATGTCAATTTTAACAACAAACACATCCACGCGAAGCTGAGTTAATAAAAACGTGTTAAATAAACCGGTAGTGATCTCCCCTAAACTTTCTCGAATATTCTTATATTAAACAACAGGGGATGGTAACTGGGGATATAGTTATGATATTTAATCCATTTTAAATACTTAAACTTTTAAAAATAGAATAGAATCTCATAAAAAAAACATTGCGCACCAAGCAAACGCCGAATAAAAACGCGTATAATAGTGCGCAATATTATTAGTACTTTAAAAATTTACATTAGTTTTTTGAGAAATCGGAAGTAGCGTAAATTACTACTTCCAGTCAACGGAAATTACTCAAAATTTAACAGAAGGTAGAGAATTAGATCTTTTACTTACATGTGAAATTTCATTTATCTATCTGAAATAGTACTCAAGTTATAGGCTTTTAAAAAATTCAAAGTAGGAAAAGTACCACTTCCGGTTATCGGAAATCGCTCAAAAGTTGATACGGATCTACGATTTTGATAAAATACTTATATATGAAATTTCATCAACCTAGCTGTAACGGTACTCAAGTTATCGTGTTTACACACAGACACACACACGGACAGACACACACACACACAGACATACGGACAAGATTGCAAAATTATGTTTTTCCGTATCAGTGAGGTGTAAAACGTCGAGATTTGTAAAAATCTCGATTTTTTTTTTTTTGCACGATTACAATACTTTCTCTATACTACGTATATACGAGAAAGTAAAAACGGATATCGACAGATTCTGAGGTAACATATTCTATTTCAATTTTACGATCAATTGTGTCGAGTTCATTGTTCATGCATGACGCTTCAAGATTCAACAATGTCTGCCTGTTTAACATGACGAATACGTATAGAAAAAATTAATGTTTGTTTTGCAAGTAATCGATAACAATATTACGGTTGGGAGATAGGAATGGGGGAGTTGGGGGGGGGGGGGGGATGCTGGTGTGGGTAGTGGAGAGGAAGGTGTCAGGTGTGGGGATGCTAGGTATGGTGGGGATGCGTGTGTGGTGGGCTACGTGACTTATTAAACATTGAAATGACGCCAGCGTTCTAAGGCAAAAAGCTTTTTTTTTTGGGGGGAATATATAGAATGGGGGTTTCAACCCCACCTAACACCCTCTGCATACGCCAATGTGGGAGGGGTTGAAAGAAATGCAGATGTGGGTGTTTGCGGGGAGGGGGGGGGAGGGGTGTGGTTTAGGGGTTGAAGTACTCCAATCCTACGATAAGATTTGAAATGCTTGTATCACTAAGGCGCTTGACATGTCAAGCTATGATATAACCACAAACCTCGCCCTCCATGTAATACTAATTTTGTTATAAGCATAAATATTTTTTTTGTGTTTGGTTAAGTTCCTAAATGTTAAACATTGAACAAACTAATACAGACCTATGTTTAACAAGCGCTGTTAGTGTGTTACATGTCAGAAAATTGCAGACAGTGCGCTGTGCATGCTTTTAAGTTCGAATGTCTGTTCTGAAGTCAAGTTGGAAGGGGGTGTAGGGGTGAAAGTATGTGGGGTTCGAGATTCTAGATTTATCTCTACGGATGGGAGTATTTGATAAGCTTATATTACCTGAACTAGTTGACTGAATCAGAGGCGTAGCGACCCTTCTTGGCGCCCGGGGACAAACTTTCAATTAGGCGCCCCCCCCCCCCCCAAATAAATTTTTTATATTTATAATGCAAAACTGCAGCTAAAATGAGCTTTTAATTTTTTTTCAACCCATTTTGGCGCCCCGGGACATGAGTACCCCCCGCCCCCCTCGCCACGCCTCTCTCTTGACTGAATGCTGTGAGTGCAGCCACAAAAACAAAAAGAAAGTAAATAATACACACATATTTCCTTTAATGTGGTGCAACGTTTCTGTTCTTTTGTCCATAAAGACGCTGTGTTGAAACGGCAATTTTTATTGTATTTGTCCATTGTAAGCTTGCAAGAAAAAGAAAACTTGTCTTATGATTTAGTATTTATAAATTTGTTAATAGATTTATAGGTATTAGATTAATCTAACTCATGCAACGAAATAATCACATGGATCAACCACCACACCACATAGACCAACCATATGGACCATCCACCACACCACATAGACCAACCACATGAACCAACCACCACACCACATAGACCAACCACATGAACCAACCACATGGACCAACCACCACAGCACATAGACCAACCACATGGACCAACCACCACACCACATAGACCAACCACATGAACCAACCACCACACCACATAGACCAACCACATGAACCAACCACATGGACCAACCACCACAGCACATAGACCAACCACATGGACCAACCACCACACCACATAGACCAACCACATGAACCAACCACATGGACCAACCACCACACCACATAGACCAACCACCACAGAACATAGACCAACCACATGGACCAACCACCACACCACATAGACCAACCACATGAACCAACCACCACACCACATAGACCAGCCACATGAACCAACCACACGGACCAACCACCACACCACATAGACCAACCACATGGACCAACCACCACACAACATAGACCAACAACCTCACCACCTAAACCAAGCACATGGACTAACCACAACACCACATAGACCAACCCCATGAACCAACCACCACCACACCCCATGAACCAACCACCACATCGGGTACAATCAATCAGCCCCCCCCCCCCCCCCCACACCCACACACGCCCCATCAACGAATACATTGAATTGTTTATGACAACGCAGCGTGGAAATGTACATGTGATTCTAAGCAATCATTTTCAAATTTGAAACCCTCGAGCGAGCTAACAACCCCCACTCCCCCCTTACCCATAAGTAAATCGATCAATCGAAATTTTGTTATCAAGAGATACCCGATATCCAATACAACCCCCCCCCCCCCCCCCACACCACCCCATTTCTTTCTTTAGCGCACAGGTGTCAATATCCGGTACCAGCAGACGTAAAGCAAAAACCGCCAGGAAACCTCTGGCACTGCTAGAAACGTTGAAGCGGCATCTTGAACTACCGGCAGGTGTCTAAACAGTTGTGATAAGCCTGACGTGTTTGGGGACCTCAGGCGTGATAAAAGCCCTCCACTCTCGGGCCCTTCATGTCAAACTCGGCTCGTTGTGGATAAACGACATTTATTATTTCACCACCCGCGGACCTCAAGGAAGTTGGATAATTGGTTTATTTAAAAATATAAATGCTGTGGGATTTATTAATTTGGATAATTGGTTAATTCCAAGCAGGTGAGAGGTTTTATATTGTTAGTAATTGTTAGATTATCTATCGTACGTGTTGAAGGTTCATTGATCTGATGTTTACTTTAAAATATCCTTTAAAGTTAAAGTAAAAACAATGGTATATCAGATCTATATCTATCGTACGTATTAATGTTTTCTGGTCTAATGTTTACATTATTAAAATACTATTTAAAGTAAAAGTAAAATACATGTAATATTTACATAAACCATGCACGCTAATATACACATATAGGTCAAATTGTAATATTTTTGTATATATATATATATATATATATATATATATATATATATATATATATATATATATATATGTATAAATGGATATATATATATATATGTGTGTGTGTGTGTGTATATATATATATATAATAAATATATATATCGGCATATATATATATATATATATTTATTTATTTATTTATATATATATACATACATATATAGCTTTATTTATAGCTTTTTATATATATATATATATATATATATATATATATATATATATATATATATATATATATATATATATATATATATATATATATAAAGCTAAGAACTTAAGGACCTGCTCAAGCTATACAAAAAATGTTAAAGCCTAAAGATATTAGATTACTCTGTTCCCATACACAAATGCATATCACTTTCCACCACTTAGCATATTATTGTGTTCTTAATAAATCATACACATTTGCATAAACTCTTAGAGTAGATGAACATAAACACAAACCAGCAATTTGTGACTAAGTAACGCTAAAAGTTTGGGTCGTGTTTTTTGTGTTGTTGGCTGCAAGTGTTTTGTGTGCTAATAACACCATCCATCAAAGTCTGTCAATAGTGGTTGTTGTAGCTGTGTGTGGATGGTCTGATAATAATGATGTTGTAGATTGGTGGGAAAATGTCTTAAGATGTCGTTAATTAGGCATGGCTGTAGTAACACTGTAAATTGGAGATGTCAGTTGATTGCTTGAGTTAATTTTGGATGTCAGTTGTTTGTCTGAGTTAATTTTGGATGTCAGTTGTTTGAGTTAATTTTGGATGTCGGTTGTTTGCTTGAGTTAATTTTGGATGTCAGTTGTTTGCTTGAGTTAATTTTGGATGTCGGTTGTTTGCTTGAGTTAATTTTGGATGTCAGTTGTTTGCCTGAGTTAATTTTGGATGTCAGTTGTTTGCCTGAGTTAATTTTGTATGACAGTTGCTTGCCTGAGTTAATTTTGGATGTCAGTTGTTTGCCTGAGTTAATTTTGGATGTCAGTTGTTTGCCTGAGTTAATTTTGGATGTCAGTTGTTTGCCTGAGTTAATTTTGTATGACAGTTGTTTGCCTGAGTTAATTTTGGATGTCAGTTGTTTGCCTGAGTTAATTTTGGATGTCACTTGTTTGCCTGAGTTAATTTTGGATGTCACTTGTTTGCCTGAGTTAATTTTGGATGTCAGTTGTTTGCCTGAGTTAATTTTGGATGTCAGTTGTTTGCCTGAGTTAATTTTGGATGTCACTTGTTTGCCTGAGTTAATTTTGTATGACAGTTGTTTGCCTGAGTTAATTTTGGATGTCAGTTGTTTGCCTGAGTTAATTTTGGATGTCAGTTGTTTGCCTGGGTTAATTTTGGGTGTCAATAGTTTGTCTTAGGTGTCAGTTGGTTGTCTGAGATAATTTTGGATGTCACTTTTGAGTTAATTTTGGATGTCAGTTTTTGCCTGAGTTAATTTTGTATGACAGTTGTTTGTTTGAGTTAATTTTGTATGTCAGTTGTTTGCATGAGTTAATTTTGGATGTCAGTTGTTTGCATGAGTTAATTTTGGATGTCTGTTGTTTGCATGAGTTAATTTTGTATGTCAGTTGTTTGTCTGAGTTAATTTTGGATATCTGTCACGGTAAATTTGAGATGTCATTAGTGACACGGTAAATAGACATGACAGTGATCTGCCACTGTGAATACGACATGTCTAATTTCGTCACTCAAGTCATACTGTCATCGAACAACCAAACGTAACAAACGTTTCGCGCTCGTGTCATTGTTTCATTCTCTCGATGCCGCAGTATTTATTACAGCGATACCGCGTATCTTTTAAAAAATTGTGTCTATATATTATATATCGATTGGAAAAATATAACTCAATGGAGGCAGCCGAGCTCGATCAATGGGATCGATCATTATTGTTGACATTTTATTGTTTTTTTTTTGTAATCATAATTAAAGTAAATAAATTTCCCTTATAAATATGATGGTCGTTAGAGCAAGTGAAGTAGAGTTCACCTGTTTCTGTGACCTCGGTACATGAAAGGATAGTGTGGTTAGAGAGCTGACCAGCCACATTTAGTTTCCCTAATGCGAGTTAGGTACCCGTTACAGCTGGGGGGACTCAGTGATGTTTACAGACTTGAAGCCGGAATCAAACTTGAGACTTTTAGTGTTAGCGGGCGTATACTCTATATCCCACCACTCCGAAAAAAAAACTTAATTCCAAAAAAAAATAATTTCAAAACTTTAATATTTTAATAATCAATGTTATAAAAGTTGCAGAAGCGTTTAATTTGAAAATACTTTTTAAAGTTTAAGGCTACATTTCTATTTATGTTCATCAAGCTTAAGTTATAACCCGAAGTTTCTCTTTTGTACGACAAACATTGATAGATTGGATGTACATCTTCTGAAAATCACACTTTGTATTATTTGTTCTCAAAACTTGGCCAAAAGAATTTTTAAATACTTTTTTTAAACATGACCTAGTTCTGCCATATTTGTTTACATTATCTGTTTACTTTAAAAAAAAAAATTGATTTGTTAATAAAAATAAAACATCTAATACATCCAATCACAATTATTTTTTTTTAAATTTATTTTAATAACATCACTCCCGTTTTTTATTTTCTAGTATACGAAGTATAAAGGAAGTATTGTAATCGTGCAAAAAATCGAAATCAAGGTTTTCACAAATCTCTACGTTTTACACCCCCCTGAGTCGGAAAACATAGTTTTGCAATTTATTACGTATGTCTCTGTGTGTATGTATGTGTGTATGTCTGTGAACACGATAACTTGAGTACCGTTACAGCTAGGTTGATGACATTTTATATATAAGTATTACATCAATTTTTAGTTCTATGTCAACTTTTCAGCGATTTCCGGTAAACGGAATTGGATATTATTCTACTTTTGGTTTTTCAAAAGCCAATAACTTGAGTGCTGTTTCAGATAGATAAACAAAATTTCACGTATAAGTAAATGATCTATTTCTCTGTCTTCTCTATCAAATTTCCGTTGACAGGAAGTAGTAATATACGCTATTGCCGATTTTTCAAAAAAAAAAACGATTATGAATTTATAGAGTAGCCTACTAATATTCCGCACTATTATACACATATTGCTTGCCGTTCACTTGGTGTGCAATTCTTTTTTCTACGAGATTCTATTCTATTTTAAAAAGTTTAAGTAATTAAAAATGGTTTAAAAGTCATGTCCTTATCTTGTGCTGCCACCCCCCCCCCCCCCCCCCGTAGTGTTGTATAAGAATATTCGAGAAAGTTTAGAGGGGATCATTCCCGCTTTATTTTAATATTGAATAAACAATTCTGGACAATTCATGGTTGCGTCCTTTCAAAATGGCCGCATTTGCTGTGATTAGTAAATCTCTCTCACTCTCTCATGGTGGAAAATTAACATTTACTTATTCATGGCTATAGTTGTTATTTTCTTAAAGTAACTATTCATAACGTGTCCAATCATAATACATTTTTCAAACTAATAGAAATTGAACTTTAAATTTTTCATGTCTCCTTATTTGTTTTAACCAGAAGTAATTAATATTTGGGACAGGGGGTGGGAAGGTGCATCCTCATGTTGCCGATAGGCGGTTCTAGGGGATGACATGGGGTGGTGGTGGCTATTTTAAGAAATATTGTGTGTGTAAGTGTGTGTATGTGTGTGTGTGGGGGGGGGGGTTGTATGTCTAACATGAGTTTAACAAATCTTTTGCATGTGATTTTATATGACACATAAAACCTAATGTTCTAAATGTCTCTAAAAAAATAACTCTTTCCAAATGGACTGAAAGACTAGATTCGCTGATTACATCATCGATGAACTACCTAACAATCTAATAAAAGATCCTTCTCTCCCCCCCCCCCCCCCCCCACCCACCCTCTTTAACTTTTCCACTGCAGGCAGAGAAATTGAGATCTAATTTTAACATATCAATAGATCATCAAATATAAAGCCCTAAACATAACAATCAATCCTTATAAAATTTACAACAGACGCTAGTGCTATCAAGAGTTTTTCAAGAAGATCTAATTGATTGAAATACCTTTGGTGTATGGAATTTTATTGTGTCGTCTGCGAGATTTCTGATAAAGTGTGGTGACGCCACGCGGTTGAAATTACAAGGCTGATATTCTTGTACGGACGAGCTGATTCTTATGTCCCCTGCGGTGATTTATTTCACAGTCCCGTGGAGCTACCTCGGGTGTGTGGCATACTCGAATGCCTGGGTGCCTTTGATTTGTTCTTAATGGTTTACTGATGTCAATGAATACGATTTTTTTATTGAGGGGAGGGGTGGGGGTGTAGTTATTAATGCGTCGCTTTCGTAATGAAACAAAAAATATATTGTTTATAAGTGAATATCGATTTGATTTGATTGATTGAGTATATATTCATGCGCTGACTTCAGAGTTGAAAAGTAAATTTGATAAGGGAGATAAGAGGTTGGTTAGATTTAATGTTAAGGTTAGTGATTGCATGGGTGAGATTGCTTTGATGATATACCAGCGTTGTAGACGGAGTGGTACGGCTTGACCAATAGTGCCAGTAGGAAATAACAGCGAGCTGGACGGATAGCTTGGGGACGGCAGGTTCGAACCCAAGCCAGACAAACTTTTTCTGTGGTTTGAGGTTAATTCTGTGTTCATGCACGTTCACGTACGCATATGTACGCATACATAAATACACACCTACAAACAAACACACATATAGACACACACATACACACG